AGCTGTACTTGTACAAGATAGATGGTGAAAACACTGTAAAATTTTAATGTTAGGAAAAAGTGTTTTATTCACTCTGATCAATATTTAGGCTAGTAACCTTATTTCACTTTCTTGAATGAAAAAATTGTGATCTCTTAATGTTAAGCCACTGCTCTGCATGTGAGGATACTCTAGACAAGGTAGGGTGCTCTGGCTATATGAGAGAGATAAGATCAGTAATGTACTACCAGTGATTTACCAAAAACAAGTTAAAACTTGTTGAGATTTCAAGTGGAATTTGGAAGATTTTTTGCCCATAGCCAGTATCCAGTCATTACTGAAGCATTCAAAATAGTGTTAAAAACCATGCATGAGAACACAAATATTCTTAAAATTAGATGTCGAGCAGTAGAAGAACCCATTAACTAGAGAAGAAGCATATTAACTAAAGATGCCAGATTAAAAAAAAAGGCATTTCAGCACTTTGCAGCTCTAAACTGTGTGAAAACCAAATCTGAGAACTACCAGAAAAAATTGCATGTTTTCAACTTGACTGTAAGCCGCCTGCTAATACATGATTGCAAGTTGAGTGTTACAAAACATTCAAAAAGAAACTAAATGCCTTGAAAAACAAGTGCTTACAAAAGATTGTATGCTGTGAGTGGAAATATTTTTTTCACTGACACAGGGACCTTGAGAAATCACCGGTCAGTAGCTTGTCTGCACCAGAACCAGTAGTGCTGGACACATTTTGGTCATATCCTCCAAAGAACAGAAAGTCTCCTACATGAGTTATTGGATGGAAATGATCACAAGCAGCAACCAGTGACAGACGGATGGAAGAAAATAACTCTAGGCAATGCTACCAATGTAGGCTTTAGAAATATGTCATGTAGCATGTAAAACTGCTAGAAGCATATAAGATTTGTTTGCAGGATAGTCACTGAAAATAATCCAGTGTCCTACAATATATCAGAAGTCACAACAAGAAGACAACCTACTTCTATCCCTTAAACAGTCCTCCTGGAAAACGTTTTGTGGCTCAACTCGGTTTATCAACCTCCTCGGCACCTGAGTTCAAGCATGTACTTGTCAGGCACACCTTAGTCAAAGGGTTAAAATGCTTTCATCAGTTAAATTTTACTGAGTCTATGGGCTCCATCAGCAGCAATCTACACGTGCTGGCTGGTCTCTACAGTTTTACAAATAACCAAGAATGATTTCTGATGAACCCCACGGCTTCACGAGAGCTGAGCCCAGGCCATTCCACACAGACCTAGCACCCCAAGTCACTTCTGACATGGCTTGTACCTTGACTGTCATGTTTTTCCTGCTTCTGACATACTGTCCTTGCTCAGCTGCCTCAGCTTTCTCCATCCCTGTGCGGTAAACGCTGATACCAGAGCTGCAGTTCTGCTCCCCCACCTGAGGCTGCTTTGCTCCCAGCTGCAGTTTCTGTCATTTAGCTCTCGAAATGGGGCAGGGGATCTTGCTAATACCCTGGTACCATTCTCACTGCTGTGGGTCCTGGACTAGTCTCAGAGCCTTATACTGGGCTTCCCGCTTCTCCTTGGAAATCATGGCCCTCCCCAGTTCAGGGGCAGGAGACAGGAAAGCAGCAAAGGCAACAGGGTAAGCCCAGAGGAATTCTGTCTTAAAATCTGGAGATGAAGAATTCACTTTGCCTGCCTTTGCAGGGAAGCTCGGAGGCCACGCTGCATCTTAGGATCTCCCCAACCCTCTTGAACAGCCAACCCCTTCTTCTGACACACTTGAGCTAATTTCCCCAGCAGTTGTCTTCACGGAAGCACGGAATTTTCCAAGTTGGAAGGGACCTCTAGAGATCGTCTTCAAGCAGTTCATTCACCACTGCCTGGGTTAATTGTAGTGTTAATTCTCTACCTCTCCACCCAGGTACAACTCATAAAATGTCTTACTATATGTCATTTTCCTCGGCTAGGTTTTACTTTTTTTATTTATTTATTTACACCAAGACGAAGAAACCACCTCCACTATTGTTTCCTTTCACAGCTTCTTAGTTTTTTTTTCATAATTGTGGTCACATTTACACAGTAGTATTGCTACAGAAAGCCAAATGCAGAAAGTCAAATGCCAGTTTGCTCATCTCAAACCTCCATACATTGTCTCTCTGCCCTTTTCTACTAAACCTGCACCTTTTCTCAAAGATGACAAATGTGACAAAAAGTGATTGAATATGGGCACTTTAGTTCTTAGATCAGTATTAAATTTGTTAGATCATCTTCCCCACCTCTACACGCGCCCCTGAGCTGGGCTTGTCCAGGCAGAAAGATAGAAATGGTCTATCTAGCTGTGGCAGACATTTAGACACGATGTGCTCGCTCTTGCTTCTGCCTTGCCCAGGCCAGGACGTGCATGGCCACAGCTTCACGCCGGGGCCTGCGCCAGCAGGAGGGGACGCTGTAGTGACAACATGGCAGCGGGGTGCCCCTGTCAGCCCTCCTGCAATGGGTCAGCGCAGCCGCAGGCCTTCAGGCACCATGCAGGCTCTGGTGGGAGGGCCTCCCTGTTTGAACCTGTGAGGAAAGCTGTTCCTCCTTGAAAGCAGCCCTGCGAGGATCCTGGCAGTGCCCTGGGAGCGGCTGTGGGGCAGGCAGGAGAGGGTGCTGAGGTGCGCCTCTCTTAATGAGGGGCTGCAAAGCTTTCGTCGTCCCTCAGGGTCCACTCTGGTCCAGGCCCCTCCAAGCCAGGGCCGCCCGCCTGACCCCAGCGCAGATGGCATCGTCCCCGCTCCGGGGATCTGCTGGGGACCAGCCCCATGCAGTAAGGGGGGGCAGAGGGTCGGCGGTGCTCCCCAGCTGCCCAGCCTGCAGCCTGCCCACGCCATGGGTGCCACAGGGCCACCCATTACCACAGCGATGGGGTATCACAGAGGCAAGGGGGCTCAGGGCATGGAGAGAGGGGACGTGGGACCTCGGTGAGGGGACATGGGACCCCTCATTAATGGAGACATTAAACAGGGTCAACAGTGGTGAGGTGCCATCTCCTGCTCCAGATTTCGTGAACCCTGTGGCCCTCAGTCCTCACGACTGGGTTCAAGGCGCTGTTTGAAGGACGGGCCGAGCTTCCCCAGTGCCGGCAGTTTCTCACCCATCTCCACTTGAGGTTTTTAGCTCTGCAGGGATTTTATCTTAGCCGCTATGAAAGGATTGCATGAATGTACATGGTCTGAAGTGTTATTTGGTATCTTCTTCAGCAGTTAATTTTAAAACAAAAAAATCCCCATGTGTAGATTACGTAAATAAAGTAGAAAATAGTTATGATGTTATCTATTGAGGTGCTGTTAGGAACAAGTTATACTGCATTTTGCAAGAAGCCTCTGAATCACTCAAAAAACCCACAAACCACTAAAAGAAACAGCCCATTCAATAACTAGCATATATTTGCAAGATATATGAAATAGTCTTTAATACACGTACAAAAATATTGAGCAACTGTACAAAGCCCCGATCACAAATGTACTTTTATTCAGGTAGAGCTTTGTGAAGATTGCAGGGTCTGCAGTCAACAGACACCTCTCTGCTTACAAGGTAAACCCAGCCTGCCACCAGCTGCCCGAGGGAGCAGATTTCCCCCTCAGGTCTGGTGCACAGCATTTCACGAGTTACATTTGAAGGGAATTGGCCTCTCCCAAGAGGCAGGCTTGGGTCGGCAAGCTGAGATCTTGGCAGAGTTTACGCCAAGAGGGAGGATGCCCTGTGCCCGGCTCCACTCCAGCTATACACTCTCATCAACGGGTCATTGGCCCTAATCTCTCAAAAACTAAGCAAATGCATCAATAAAGAAAAATTCTAGTCTCAGCCTGTCCCCAGAAACTACAATCCAACTCCGTCAATCCTGCCTTATAATGGGGCAATTTGGTATACCTCTGGGCATGCAGGATTGTTGACTTTCCACAGCGGACCTGGCTCTGCGAAACCAAAATACCCCCGGAGAAAGCTGAAGCCCTTCCTTAGCTAGAGCTGAGCTAAGTTCATCATAGCAACCTGTTCTAGGCCATTATCAAACCACATTTAATTTCTACTTGATTGCTGTGAGGTTATGGTAAATTCCCTTGTTAAGAGTGATTTTGGATCAGACTAACCCTTGTCCAGACTGGAAGGCAGGCACTGGCTTTATCCCAGATTAGTTCACCTTGTATTGTGCAGTGTAGAGTCATTGACCTGGAGAAATACATTCTGCTGTGTGGTCCTAAGACATCTGGAGTTTGAGACAACACCAGCATGTCACAAATATTTCTGCTGTCCCAAAAAGCCATCATGCCCCAAGTCTAGTCATTTTGCATGTCAACCATGTCAAGAACCACACCAATCATGCCAGTATCTCTAAGGCAGTAATTTAGAATCTAGACTTGATTGTGTTTTTGTGGGACTTTTATGGTCTTCGAATAGGTAAGCCCACACATATCTAGAACTCCACTTGTAATGTTCTCTGGCACAAAGACTCTGAATTCTCTTCAGAAGAGATTTTTTTACTGTAACTCTTGAGTAGTTCTAGCTACCTGAGATCTTGACCAGGCCCAAAAGGATTCATAAGAGAACTGTAATCCATGCATATGTGGATCTATTGCATATTATTTAACAGGCCTGTTATGGTCTTCCTGAGCACTCACCAAAGCTCAGAACCAGACCTCTCCATCTATCCCACCTTCCCTAAAAGGGTTATTTATCAAGCAAAAAAAATGAGCCCATATGTTGCATCTAGTCAAACGTATAGTCCAAAAATATCGCTTTCCACAGTGCAAACACAATGTGCAGGGTATCTGCATTTCTTTAAATTTTCTGTACATTAAAAAAAATTAAAATTTTACAAGTGATCAAAAAAGCAGAAACAGCTTTGGAAATGAGGCATGTTTTTCTTTCCACTGAAGAAGGTAGGCGATAGCATTTTCAGTTCAGCTATGGCATCAGGTTGCTAAGGCAGCTCTCAGAGGGACCTATAAAAGAATGGTCGATCCACGCATGGTCCCAGCTGGCAGAAGCTTAATTGTCAGTGGAGTAAGTGTTGGTTCTGACCAAGGTGTTACGTCTAGAACAGTAAGACATATCTTCATATACTGCATTTAGTTTTTTTTTCTGGAAATATTTCTTCATCTGCAAAACAAAGCAAACAGCCATTCAGAACAGAACTGGAAAAGACCCCGACCAAGGAGGGAGTCAGTTTGCATCTTAGGAGCCCATCTGTCTGAAGTGGAAATGTACTTTTAAAATTACTCTCATAACCCAGTGAGGTCTTAGAGGATTAGGTGGAAATTGTCAACCTATTTATTTAACTTTCTATTGTCAGTCTGATGTAATTTTCCTAGAAGTTCCTTCAAGAGTTGGATGTAACTGTGGCCCCAGCATAAATAATGCTTATCCTTAGTTCGTTACTGATAACACAAGAGAACAGTTCCCACAGGACCGCTTGGCTTTGCCAGAATGATATTATACTACTGTTTTTTAGTAGTACTGAAGCCATATGTGCAGGGAAGAGACAGGAGCATGGCCTGTGAATCATGCTTTATTAATTTTGAATAATCTTTATGGGGCAGAAGAACCTAGCAGAGACAAATAATTTCTGGGCACTCTCTGCAGAATATGGATGCAAATAATCCCAGTAAAGGAAAATTTCTTCATTACTTTTTTTTTTTCTACAGCAGGGCAAAATTGTTCTCCTACAGCTTTATTCAGACATTAGGCTATTTTATGACTTTTGCTGTCCTTGTGTCACCCCCAAACATTCTCTTACATCTGTCACAAAATTAATATATACAGCCCCATTCCTGATGATTGAGGGAAAAAAAAAAAAAAGCAGCAAAACAGAATAGTGAGGTGCTCTGTTCAGGGAAATACATATAACACGCGGCTGTGTTGTTGACTGTGAGGCTTACTTGAGGTTTGTTATCAAAAGGCAAACAATATGTTGTTTACTAAGAGTTACAGAAACATAAGAAGACACAGTCTTTACTGCCAAGAATTTGTAGCTAGCAAACAGTAAACATGTGCAAAGAGGAGACAATAGAAAGCCATGACTCCTTAGGCTTATTAAATGCTTGCTTGACTCAGTCACTATTTACAAATAATATCAAAGGCACCTATTCACTCAACCCGGAGTCAGTTCTGCTATGGCATGGTAGCAGCATACTTACATCGACACGGTACAGGCTGCAGCATATCAGCGCAGAAAACAGTAGCGCTACCACGATGATAAGAGCATAGGTGACCCAGGAACTGTTACTGCAGTCTGTCTGCTCCCCTTCTGCATGTGAGATTATGTTATTATTATAAATATGAAAAGGTAGAATTCTATTTTTATTGCAAAAAAAATTATTTACTGGTCAGCAAGAAATCCAATATCAACAGCATGCTACACAGCCACGTGTGTCCTCCCATTAGTATTCTCACTGGCATTCCCTGTGCTCTTCTAGAGGCTGGTGGTGACTGCAGGTGGCATGCAAAGGGTCAGTGAGGAGCACACTACAAATGCGACAGCTTCCATGCTGTCCATCAGAAGGAGGACCACATACTCATAACAGAAACAGAAAAAGTTTTACTGTAGTATTACAGCAATACTGAAGGCTCAGCCAGGAGTATACAAGAATTATCTAACAGCTAGGTTTGCAAGCAGCATGGACAGAAGTAGGAGGCTACTGTCATCTGGAGTATATAGTGCTAGTGGAAAGGATTACAGTTCTCTAAAACCTCAAGTAATCCATATCTGAACAACACAATATCTGGTAATCACCCTGCTGCTCTCATGTGCAGCTGTTGTTTTCCCCAACTCACATTACTGAGTTGTTGCACCAGTTACAGTGAGCAGCACAGAATGAGACCACAGTCTTTTTTGCAGACTGCAGATAGATCCTTTGCAACTCTTAGGGCTTTTGTAAACCTCATTTTAATTGCCCAACAATCTCATCAAAGCCTGATGCACAGGGTTAAATTGCACCAGTAAGATCAAAATCAAGCACTATATTGCTGGTTTTGTCTTCATCTTGGCAAATGGTTACAACAACCATCCCGCAGAAGAAGAAAAAACCCTGTCTTTGGAACACATGCTCGCAGTGTGCTCAGTGTATAATAAGGGTGTGTGAGATCATCTCTGCTATTATCTGTGGTACTTTAAGTAAACGCCTGAGGACTTGTTCTGTACTCTCTAGTGTGATCTATTTTTAAACATAAAGACTAGCTATAGGGAATGGTTTCTTAAAGACATTTATGTCACATTAAGGTCAAAGAACTGATGCTAAGAGTACTGATTCATTTCCTAAAACTGACAAATTATTCACAGACACACTGAAGTGTTTGTTGTCTGATTTTGACTTTTTTTTTTTTTTTAAGATGCAGAATTATAACAAGTTTTCTCTTTTATAATTCCCCTCTGGTTGTACAAAGCAGGTAGAAACATAGTGCCTGTTTCTGTGTCCTGGTACAACACGGCGCAGAGGAGTCTGAGCACTCTCCAGACTTTCCCAGGTACTGAAAGAAGTCCAGCCATGGGTTAGTGCTTTATCTGTCCTGACTAAGCCTGACAAGCTTTTAGTCCACCTTTCGTATTACAACATGCCTGTAGTTATTTATGATTAAACAAGCAAAAGGATAGTACCTTTAATCAGAATCATGGTGCCACTTCCGTTCACTAAGAGGAAAGAGGAATTTTTCACCACCCCAGCACATACATACATATCACTGTCCTTTTTCGACAAGTTGTGTAGAGTGATCACTATTTTCTTTTCTTCCTTTGAATACTCCAAGCGATTAGCAAAAGCAGGAGAAATAGTTGAACCATTCTGACTTGAAACGTACAGCACGCTTTCAGGTTCCTTGTGAGTCTTGAGCAAGTAGATCCCTTTCTCTTCATGTGAGCTTCTGAACACACAGGTAATGCTGATAGAGTGGCCTTGCTGAGGATTGGCATAGAGTGGTGACTGCTCAACAACTCCATTGTTTTTTGCTAAAAACAAGAGATATTAATGGCTACCACATACTTATCACAGCACGTTTTCACTAGGGAGCAAATACAGAGGTGAAAGACAGGAAGAACAGCCCACAGAAATTTAGATAAAATTATTTTTTTAAAGGCTACCTTTATGAGTGCCTTGAATAGAAAGATATATGTTGGTACATCCTGGCATGCTTTCCTGCCCCAGGATCTGAAAGTAGGACTGACCGAACAGGTTTACCTGTTACAAAGGGTCTCCACCTACCTACAAAATACTTATACTGAACTCTTCTAAAGGCATACAGCCTTCTTCAGCTTGCCCTCGACACATGGATCATTGCCTGCTTTCTCGAGTGAGATTGAGCCATAGAGAGATCTGGGGAGTATTGGTCTGGATGAAATTATACAATGTGAGTTCCGTCATTGTTAAAAATGGTCTTCAAAAAGCAGTTATTAACGGCTTGCTGCCCAGCTGGGAGGACATTTCACTGAGTTCCTCTGACGACATGCCCTGTTCCTTTTGACATTATCATTAATGTGGATGAGGCAATAAAGACATAATTTAACACCTTTGTACAAAAGATAATTCTGGGAAGGTTGCAAGCATTTTAGAGAAGAGGATCAAAATCAAAGAGAGATATAATGTAATTTAATAAAATAATTTGGAGAAACAGTACATAATCAACAAGCTGTAATTCATTTGAGAAAACACAGTCAAGTAGTTTGAAACGAGAAGCCTAAGGAAGGAAGCGATAAGTCTTTATAGATATCACTGACTATTACTGATCCAGCAATCAGTTAGGTTTTGCATGCCTTGGGGATGGGAAAGGAAGAAAACTGTAATTTTTTGTAAAGATGTTTCAGGTTAGATGGCCTCATCAGAAGGGTAGGTACATAGAGGAATAAGTTGCCAAAGAAAATTGTGGACTCAACCCTCTTCTAATGTGAAAAAGGACAAAAAGAAAAAGAAAAAGGAAAAGAAAAAAAAAAGAAAAGGGGAAAAAAGAAAAAAGATTGAAAGAAAAAAGAAAAACGTATTCTACTCTTAACCAGAAATTACTGTCAAAAGGAGCATTTGTGCCATTCATAAACTGTTTAAGAGAAAAAACTCACATCCCTTCATCCACTGATGCCCAACTTGCAAACCCTGCCTATCACCAGCTTCCCAATTATTATCAATTTATCATTTAATATGAAATAGTAAAAAGATATTTGTAAAAAATGCTATCAAAAAAAGCTCATTGCTTTGCTAGTTATTCACAAAAATTTGACTGATAGTTTTGGAAGGAGCTATGCGTCCTCACTCTTGCCAAACTACTGCAGCAACCTATGACTCGTGAAAACCTGCAGCTAGGATTAAATTAGTCATTAATTGATGCTCTAGCAGTTTTCTTCGTACCGTTTTATCTAATGTGTTTTCTCATCTTTTCAGGGAACTGACACGCTTTCCTTCAAATCAGTACATTACCTGAGCAGACATGGGTAAGTTCTGGCAGACTCTCCCTCCCATTATGCTTTTTTCCAATCTTTGATTTAAAAATATATATCTGTATTTATTAATTCATGACATAAAAGGTGGGATTGCAATACCTTTCACCACTACTATGGTTGTCTTCCCTTTCAGCTTTTTGTGATTGCCTTTGCTTAAAACATACTCAGAGCATTGGTAGATATCAGAATCAGATTCCTGTACATTGTGCAGAGTTATCCTGAGATTCCTTCCTTCTTTTGAATACTTGATGCGATTAACCCAAGTAGCACGTATAAATGAAGTATTCTTCTGGGAAACATATAGCACAGTGATTTGCAGTGGGCTAGTTGTCAAGTACATTCCCAATTCATTTCCTGAACCTGAACAAGTTATGCTGATGGAGTCTCCTTCCCAAACACTGATAATGTCTGTTGACTGATCATTTTCTCCACCTAAAAATAAGAAACGCAATTGAAATTTAGTATCGGAGTTCTTCTTGATCTAGTAATATCAAAGTAGCTTTCAAAAACAACAACTCCATCAACATAACAGCTCTGTAAGACTGGACCTTAGTCCTGCTATCCTGTATAGATCATCTCTTGGCTGTCCTGAAGCCTATAGTGCCTTGACCTGTGCAACTCATCATCTCCCCAAAGCTTAAAAAGCCTTCACAAAAAAGTGGCTACTGTCACTCATGCAAAACATTTAGTCTGCTGTATAGATGCCCAGTACCATCCTATTAATTCTCAAAATACAAGCTTCATTGAACTCAGCCCAATAATTGGAGCTGGTTGAGGATCTAAATTTGGAATTCAAAGGTATCAAAACAGGGCAGAGAATGGAAGAGAATTACACCTCCGTTTTTTTGGTTCCCCCCCCTCCTAAAAGGAGGCTTTAGCAACATCGGGAACTGGATAGTATACGCCTCTTAGGAAAAGAACTGCAGAAGGTATAACTCCAGCCTATACTAAGAAACAAAGGCATAAAAATATGTAATGAGATCCTTTGAATTCTCTAATGATCTCAATATCAAAAGAAACTGAACAATAAGTACTTATACCATGAATAGTGAGAAACAGAGGGATCAAATGGAAACATCTAAAAGAAATTACATTACAAGCAAGGGAAGAATAATTAAATATAGAGTATTGCATATCTAGGACAAACATAGTACAGAAAGCCTAGGATTATTCAGTGTTGACAAGCAAATTAAGGATCCCTGTTTGAGACCATAGACTAAAGAGGGAAAAAAAAGAAAGAAAGAAGGAAAACACAGAAATTTGTGAAAAAAAGGGTCTATGTTGTACGTACCGTTTTGGCCAGGGAAGCACGGGAGAAGCAGAAGAAAGAGAAATGCAGTTGGGAGATGTGATATCCACAGCATTTCCAAAAGTGTACTTAGTTGCTCTGAGTTAAAGACACGAAGAAAGCGTCATATGCTACAAGTTGGCCTGTTTTCTTCCAGCTACATCAGTTGTCTACTAAAAGAATTTAGCAAATTGCTTCTTTTGCCTTAGTATCACAAAGAATGTGACAGAGAGGGGGAAGAGAGATTTCTCTCAAGAGGTGTATCTTGGTTTTGACTTCACACTTAAAACGCCCACGGTTTCCTACCACTGAACAACTCCCAACCCTGAGTGCAGAATTAGAAAGAGTCTCTATGGCAAGCATCTACCATCCCTTACCTGTAAACTAAGAAAAGATAAGCTCAAAGATGCTCTTCACAGTGCCAGGCAACTATCTCCCTGTTGTGGCCTTACTGGAAATGTAGGCACTTGGTACAATCAATTCAGTTTGTCAGTGTTCCCATGGGCTTAGCAGGCTGCCTGGTTGGTGGCTGCAAATGCAAAAGTCTTGGCTTTGTAAGGAGCAAGTGGATGAGAGGGGCTCCGTTACTTTAGGTGAACCTTAATTTATTATACAAAGCCTGCTAACAAAACTACAGGTTTGAGCTGCATCTCCGCAATGACAACGTGCACCATTTCCGAGCAACAGCATGGTGTGTACCTCTCACGTGCCTCCTGGCTTCACGTTTAATAACACATTCGGTAGCGTCTGTAGTACACAAGAACTGCTATCCACCAGCAAAAGGGAATCTCGGCTACAATTCACATGTAGCCCCTGCTCCCTCCCCGATGTGATGAGAAGCCCTTCTTGCAGGCACTGTCCTCTGTGTGAATACACCCCCTGGGAAAGGGGGTGTTCCCAAAGTGTTTCTTGAATGCTTGGAAGCTTAGAGATTTCATCAATTATTGGAAAGAAAACAGAGTTCAGGCAGGTTTGAACTGAGCTTTCAGTTAGATCTACAAAGGTGCGCTACTGGATACAAAAGCAGATGCCAGGAGGCATCTCTTACTCCCTGTCCTTGCTTTTCCAATCCTGGATTACGAGTTTGGGAATCATCTGATGGTGATGGTTTGGAAAGGAGATTAAAGTATCAAATAATACAATCAACACAGGGTTACCAACAAACAGGCGGTTTTTAAGATGACATTTTATTATGATGAGTACATTAACACAAACAAAAAAAAAAATCATTAAAATGAAATTACAAGTATCAAATTGTGGCATTTGATGAGTCGGACCACTTAATATCTTTGGTAACTTTTTATTTCATAGACAAATATTTGCCTATATTTTTATATTGCAAAACAACACAATGCACTTGCTTAGAACAAACGCTGTAGATCTTTAAAGCTCTTTGTAACAGTTTTTCCTGAGATGTGGGATGATTAGTATTTGCCAGTACGACACAACTCGGGAAGGGCAAAGTGATGCCTCTGAATACCACAATCTGTATAATCAACAGTATAAAGAAGAGATGTAAAGGGAAGTGTGCTTGAGTGAGCCATAGAGATCACTCTGTGACTTGCATCATCTGACTAATTTCGCTAAGCCACTGTCACTAGGCAGAGGTGTCCATGTAACTTTTCTTCTCAAAACATGTCCAGCTCTCTGGCCCCAACTGGTGTTAAAGAGTAGAAATTAAACCTGCACATCATGAAACCTGAATCCTTGAAGTTGATCCATGGTGCCTTGTTGCTGTGGCCCGTCAGTCTTTGCCTTAGAGGGGCTCTAGGACAGGCTTGAAACATCACCCAGTATTACACCACAGGGCAGGACCTCAGGAGAGCCACTAGCAGTCAACTTTTTCCCTATCACACCAATATTTCTATCGATAACAATGCAGTGAAACGAGAGTTGTGTTATCTTTACTGGGTTTTGCAAGTACCCGTGCAACTCATGTTTTACAAAGATAGCCCTGTGTGTTTTATCTAACTGCAGATGCCGTAGATATGCAAACATCTCAGCTTGTTCCCACTGGCTTCCTTTAGACTTATCAGAGAGAAATGGGCACCTTCCCAAGGTAATTCTTCTGTTTCATCTTAAAACCGTTTTAAGGAGAGTTGAATCATCTTCAAGACAGACATTTCTCTCCACTCACTAGAAAGGGAGAACAAGATAAAAATCTTAGGCTTCAAGTTAACCTTAACCAAATTCAGACTTAGGAACTTAATGCTTAGAATTTTAGAAAGAAACAACCAACATTTGTTTCTAAAGGACGGGCTAGTTCAGTAAGAGAGGAGATGCCTCAGCTTCTGGCATTACACAAGGTTCCATAAACCCTGTAGCCAGGATAAGCCCTGGCTACAGGATACAGGGGGGAAGCTGTATGCCAGCGTCAAGGGGCGTCTGTAGAAGTGTGTAAATGACGCACACTCAAGGACTGGAACTACTGCAAAGTCATACAGGGACTAAAATCTATTGACTCAGCCTTGATGCAGGGACGAAATGGGCATCACTGAATGTGTGTCCTAGTAAACACATCTAGTCCTTCACTGAACACCCTCCTGCCATTGTAGTGCTGTGATTTCATCACTTATCAGAATTAAACCCACAAAAGTCAAATATTCTCATTGAAAAACTGATGGACCACTAGGAAAGGTCCTGGGAAAACAATAACAAAAAAGTACCAGCATTAGCAGGGATTTACTTAGAAGAATTAAAACTAACAGACTTGCAGTTGCTTTTCCCCATTTACAGTTATTTGCAATTCCTGAGCAACTCACTGGTATCCATCTCAAACAGATCCACAGGCCTTGTGTTTTCTCCACAAATCCCCACCACGTATGGCAGGTGTGATACTTTGCCGCATGACAGAACAGTTACATCCCAAGCTTTATACTCTGTTGTAGCACTACTATTTCTGAAGTAAGAGGTGGTTTAATAGTATCTCATGTTAAGAACGCTGCAGTCTCTGTGTTGTGAAGGAGGAGGGAAGAGCAGCGAGCGATACCGAGGAAGGCAGATATTTCCAGAAGATTTTATTCTCTTGACTCCGTATTTACTCCATAGAGACTGCCCCATGGCACTGGATCCCACTGAGGTAGGGCCAAGCAGTGCAATCACTTGGCTGTACTACTGTAGAAGTGAGGAAATTTATTCCGGGCTTATTTTTCATAATAAAGTCGGCTGACTGGGGACTATGCCATGGCACCAAATGCAGAGGTGGAGTTCATAGCAGCTGTTGGCCCAGCCTGCCCTTCACAGGGAATATAATTTCGTAACTTCAGAAACCATGTTATGGAAATGAGATCCAGAGAGAAACCCCTGTAATGCTTTTGCCACTACCAGCGCTGCTTGCCAGGCACGTTGCCCATAGGAAATATAACATTTTGTCAGACTGTACCTTGACCATTTCATTTCTGTCAAAAACAATATAATGCCAGTGCTACTCCACAAACCACAAGAATTGGTACTATGGTGATGACGCTAACGCTGTTCTTCTCACCGATTGAACGTTGAGGATTACCTGAAGAGTAGAAGAAAATAAAGAGATTCCAAGTGAATCAACCAGGCGTGCCAAGAAATGAGCCTGCCTCATAAGCACCAGCTAGCAAGAACGGGGCCTGGCGCTTCAGCCCACAAAAGCTGATAATGAGAGAAGGAACTGATGAGTGAGAGAACAAGTAGCCTCTGGCTTAGGACATCTTAAGGAAGATACCTGTAACAAGAGGGACTCTATCAACATTCAAAGCTAATTCTTGACTCCCCACCACAACAGATACCTTTGAACTTCTATCTCATCTGATATAATCAAAACTAAGAGGTGCAAAACCCATCCTTAATGATGGGTTCAAAGGTCACAAAGGAAATCCATTTGGACCATTTTTTAAAGACCTCAATGCACAGGAATTTAAACAGATAAATATCTAGAAAGGTTATTTTATACTTGTCTAATTTAGAAGAGAAAGAACAGAATCATCCAGCACTCATTCAAAATTTACCAAAGAAAAACCCAAAACAAAAAACCCTCAAACAACACGTGAAAATGCAAAAAGCCATACCTCTACCAAGGACTCTCCCCAGAAAAGGATAAATAGTGTTTACTTGTCTCAAACAAAGACACCCTGTTTGCCCACAAGCGAAGGAACACAACAGGGATTTCTACAGTGAAATAAATTTGGATATAAAAATAACTCCCTGTGACAAACATCCTCGTAGTCTGAAGGTAAAGTCTCATTTATCATTTACTGGGAAGTGGAATTCTTGGAAACATTGCACACCCATCACATACGGCTTTCCCTCAGTGTCCCTGCATCTAGAGCTATGTAGCTACGGTGTGGGTATATACTTCCAGGACTGGGAACCTACACGGCTGGGGGAAAGTCTCTGAGTTTGGATGGCTACAGCATGTGTGGGTCCAAGGTCTGAATGTAGAGCACATGGGCCCCTCCTCCATGTCATTTTCTAGTCACATCAGGCTGGCTGAGGAAAACTCTCACAAAGCAAAGGGCAAACAAACATGGGAAGAGACTAACCTAGACTTCCCTCCATAGTGACATCGGCTGTTGATGCTGCAGTTTTCTTACCTGACATCTTCAGGTAGCAGTTCAGGGGAGAGCTGGACACTGAGGGGTCTATATCTACTGTACAGCAAATATTAACGATGTTACCTCTCTCAATTTCTGAGGAAAGTGGAAGAAAAAGGAAGTTTTAATATAAACATGGATCATTCATAAGATCTTCAGTCAAGGGTTAAAAAGGTTAAAGAGGTTAACAGGTTAAAAAAGTGGATCCTTCATGTACCACAAAAAACTGGAGATTGCTACAATCATATTTAATTCTCCGACTGTTCAAATTAACCAGTCATCATTCAGATTTTCTTCTCACTAAAGCTGATGACCTGTTCTATGAACCAATAATGGAAATCTTCCAATTTGAAGAAGGCAAAAAAGTTTTCACATGTAATTAACAACACCAAAACACTTGTAAAAAGCTTATCATTACCTTTTTGCATTTAAATTCTATGCAAATAAGAATTGTGCCAAAATTTTGCGCCTTCCATTTACCCACAGGAACCGAAGAAGAGGAACAAGCAAGAGCAGCAGCTGTAGAAGTCTCAGAGACCCCAGAGTGCATCTCCCACCCAGTCTGCACACCACTGTGCCATTATCTAATTCCTCTTGTAAGAGGATGGAAATGTAAAGGCCATTGTCTTGAAAAGTCCTTCCTACCTACGCGTCCCACATTCAGCACATCCACCTCTTACCCTCCCAAGGGATAGAGGCTTCTATGTCTACAGCAATTTCCAGTTGTCACTATGCATGCTTTAGTGTCATCCAAGCTTTACACACTGATAACAGCCTGTAGATATTTTTCAGTGGTAAGCATAAATCCAGGGGAAAAATGGTTTACAGTGGTCAGAAATTAAATACACGAGGAATTGTTAGGCTGAACAAAAGCATATGTAGGTTGAGAATTTTTTTCTGGTTTTCCTCTGTCAGCAAAAAGATTAGAAAGGATGGTCTGAGCCAAACAAGAGAGGCAATAAAAGCCACTTTCAGAGAATCACGTACAGCCAGGAGGGCAAAGCCAATATATATCCAATCACATGTTAACTGGTGAAATGTCATTGACTTGGATGGAGTTCAACTAAATTACACCTGTGCAGCCGGATCCACCCTGAAGTTTTGCCTTCGTGGAGCCACTTGCCACATGTAACCAGCAAGCACTTTTACCAGTGAATTTGACAGTTTCATGAGAAAGCTGGAAGGATACCTCCTGGTTATTTACTGAACTGTACAGAAGAGCAACACAGAACGGCTTTTCAGGCTAGACCGGGATTTCAGTGTGTACTGCCTGAAGTAGATGGGATTCATACATGGCAAACTGGCACTCATTTTAACCATGAGAATTGCTGTTGCAAAAAAAAAAAAAAAAAAAAAAAAAAGTATCTTTACAAATCAGGGTAACATGACTTTATCTGAACCTCTGCTAGCACAGTTTTAAGCAGTGTTTGACCTGAGAGAATTTAATTTCTTTTTGGGAATGACTTAATGACTTTCTCACAAAAGAAACTCCTTTTGATAAGATAGCTTACTCATTAACCTCACTGTCTGCCCAAATATATAACAGTTCAGTTTCATAACCAGAAACATGTTTTCCATATGGTCACAGCCAGTCTCCCAGTAGAGCATACCTTCAAAATTCACAAGGCCACATGAGTCTCCTAATCCCACGTCTTTCTCCCAGACGATGGCATAAATTCCTTTAGGAAAAGTATTTTCTTGCAAAAAGCACATACTGATGTTCATTTCACTGGTCACCAAATGAATTTTTTCATTTGAAAATATTTCATTTTGTGTTTCACCAATTGTTGCAAAGCCTTCGTAATTAGATTGTTCGCATGTGCTGGTCTTACAGTGTTTACAGTGGTAGACTGTCACACTTGTTTTGCCAGAGGAAGAGCCTTGTGTCCTCTCAGTAGGGTTGGCACTGGGCATGGCAATATCTACATGAGAAAACAAAGAAAAATTACCTTCTACCAGTTTTCTCCCAAGACTTTTAGTGTTAGAGAATGGGATGAGTTTTGGTGGACAAACCCAGTCATAGCTGAGGAGACATTGTCTGCCAATGGGCAATTTTTATACGGTACTGGGCCCAGTCCGTAAAATAATTTCTGGGGTAGAAATACAACATAATCCCCCCATCGCTGTCACTGGGGTTTTAAGCAGGCAGCTTGGGAAGTGAGTTGAAAGACATTTCTCTTGTTGACCTAAGAGGTTCCCTGCCTCCCTCTCTCAGCCAGGCTCAGATGAAGCATCCATTCTTGTTTTCTTGCCTTCCAGAACTCCTAGGCACAATCCCATCAGGCGTATCTCCAGCAGACATCCAGATCCCAGGACAAATGAAGTTCACAGCTGAGTTGCCAGACTACATACAGCTGGATCCAGTGTGCCAGGTGACTGCCACCAATTTCATTCAGTATTCTGGCAGGCAACAGATTTACAGCCAAGCCAAAATGCACCAGCATCCTGGCTGAAGCGCTGGAGTATGCTGGGGCTGGGTGCTGAGAGCTGACAAAGGGCTTTTACTCATTCAGACTGCCCTGGTAAAGACCCAGTCCTTTGAGAAAGGACTCACCTCATCTGATTTCAGACAGATCCAAAAAGTTGCCCTTCCCAAGTCAGGGCATTGTGACAGGTCAAATGAATCAACCTTCACCTTACTTCTTTTCTCACCTTAGTGGTTTTGCAGTCTTAGTTTTTACTGGACACAACTGAGCTTTCTAATAACAGTTTAGAAGTTTTTAGCTACTAACATGCAGTGAAAATCAATGAGATCAAACAAGGAGACTCACTTGGACGGAAAGCTGCAGCCATCAGGAGCAGGAAACATAACTGCTTGAAGCGGGGAGAATCCATCAGGCTGCCTTGCGTGCTCAGCTCCAACAGCGTTGGATGGTCTCCTAGATCCTCCACGATCCCAGGGCAGGCTCACCAGGCTCCTCCCTTAGTCATCTCCCTGTTTGAACATGAAATCCAGTGTTTAGTATCCATTATCTCTTTCTTAGTCTCTTTCTCCAGTTAAAAAAAAAAAAACAAAACAACACCAAAAACCAAAACCAACAACAACCAAAAAAAACCCACCCAAAACCAACTTCCAGGCCAAAGTACCGTAAAGCTTCTTCTAGCCAAGATACAGGCAAAGAAACGCTCATGCTGCTCAGGTGCTACTGTACTCTGAGATGGCCTTTGCAAATGCCAAACTCGCACCCCTTTCCATCTCTGGGTCAATCACAGCAGTAGAAGACACACAGTCTTTCTGCAAGGAGAGGGAATTCCCTCCTGAGCCTACTGGGCAGGAGGCTCCGTGTCCAGGTCCTCCAGGCTCCGCCAGGCAGTGGCTCTGCACACATCTTTCACTAGTACATGCAAGAAATAACATCTTGAATTGCTGTCACTTCCAAAACACACGAAAAATTAGACATGGAAGATGTTTTGTGCTGAATGATTGTTTTCCTTGGCCTAAGATGAAGTATTTGTTATCAAACTGAATTCTATTTTTAAGTGAGAAGACTTGATGGGAAATATCTGTTCAAATTAAAAGAACAAACAAACAAAAATTTAGTATTTATTTTCAAAATTGTCTTGGATTCAGTCAGAAATTCATCAATCAACTCAATGAAACTGTAATGAATTTGTGAAATATGTTCTTGAAAAAAACACAAGCTTCACTTTCCAAAGGAGAAAGACAAAAAATCTGGAAAATTCACCCAACTTTCCTCACTAGCCCAGCTCTGGAAAACACAAACTGTTTTGCTTCTGGGAGCTTTTCATTAGCAGCTTTCATTAAACCAACTTTATTTGGTATGTCACTACCTGAGAAGTACCTTGAGGAAGTTTCCAGATAGATTATGCATTAATGCCTAACTATGCATTAATTCTTTTCCTTTAAGCAGAAGTTAATAATTGCTGATCTCTCGTGATCTGCACTAGCCTAGAGCTGCAGAGTCCCACCCCGATTCCCAGAAACAGATGAGACAGGAGGAACACAAAACCTCCAAACCGAGCCCTTTCCAGCGGCCAACAGGAAGAATTTCCCCTGGAATAAAATCTGGCCCCCCCCTGCAGGCCCTCAGAGCAATCCATACCCCCATGCAGGGCCCAAGCCCAGGAGATGCTGGACCCAGCCGAGGTCCCGGCGCTGCTCCACGGGCACCCACCAAGGCATGATCCGTCCACTTCCACTTCATGCCACACGAGGGACCAATTCTTCCATTTTACACACAGGGCCCCTTCTCACCTACACAACCTTGCAAGAATTTCTTCTTGCCCCACCAAGTATTAACAACACTCAGAGCATCAAAGGAGCACAGCATCTTTTCTCATCCTCTTTCCATACACCTAAAAATAGTTCCTGTCTTTTTGATTTTGGGCGGGTTTTCTTTTTTCCCAAAAACAGATCACTCGGTACCATTTCACACATTACTGACTTTATCCTCTTTCCTGCTTTGCAAAGCACCAGCTAACAATTTCCTTCACCCCCCTGCAGGTGAGCAGAATGCCAAGGGACTGTCACCAACCATTGAATCATGGAATCATTCAGGTTGGAAGAGACCCTTAAGAACAGCAAGTCCAACCATTAACCTAGCACTGCCAACTCCACCACTAAACCACGTTCCTAAGCACCACGTCTACACATCTTTTAAATACCTCCAGAGTATTATACCTCCTTGTCCTCCTTGGAGTACATCCGACAGCCTGATGCAGTCCTCACAGACCAGCTGCAGCACATCTGGCAGAGTTATTTGCCCAGAGGTTAAGGATAATAAGTGGTTTTTTCCACAGAAGTTTTCAGACTGAGGTCTGTTATCTTCTGTCCTCGTTCATTCTATCTTCTCTCCCCTTTTGTGGTCTTTTTCCCTCATCCTTGCCCCTCCTCCAATTCTGTTCAAAGGACACCTCCCTTCCTCTCCTCTCCGGTGACACATTCCTTCCTACTCCCCCTCTTCTCTTCACTTTCAAAAGCCAGAACACTGTCCACCAAATCTCTGGCCCCTCCCCACTGGTCTGTATTACAATCCTCTTTTTTTGGCAGGTTTCTGAGAGTCTTCAGATGTCTTGGCCACCTCCTGCCATCGGTTTTAAACTTATTTTAACTATCAAAACTCAAATCTAAAATGAAACACGCTCTTCAGACAGAAAATATTTTTCATCATGTTTTTTTTTGCCTGCTTGCCTTCCTTTTCAGAGTCATAGAACAGTTTAGGTTGGAAGGGCCCTTGAAGATCATCCAGTGCCACCCCCTGCCCTGGGCAGGGACACCCCCCACCAGCCCAGGTTGCTCCAAGCCCCGTCCAACCTGGCCTTGAACACCTCCAGGGATGGGGCAGCCACAGCTTCTCGGAGCAACCTGCCCCAGGGGCTCACCACCCCCACAGGGAAAAAATTCTTCCTGTTATCTCACCTACATCTCCCCTCTTCCAGTTTGAAGCCATTCCCCCTCATCCTATTTTCAAGGCAATACAAACCTTCACTTTTCAGAGCTACTGAAGTTGTCTACACCGCTGTAATGAAGTAATGCCAGACCCTGAAAGTGAGTCAGCTGTAAGCAGCAGGCAAGTCATGTAACAACCATGACGACCTGAAGCTCCTTCACCAAACACCAGTCATTCACACCCAGCTCACGAGCTCTTCCCCAGGCCAGACCTGACCCCACAAACAAGCCAACCTGCGCTCACTGGCAGGAAGAAGTGGACTTAACCAGAAACAGAACGTAGAGCCCCAAAAAGGTCTTTGGTTTTGTTTTTGAAAGGATCTATTCGAGTAAAAACCACTACCTGAAACCCTCCTGCTTTTCCATCTCCTGTAACTTCAAAGCAAACACAACACAACAACTCCAAAGTTTACCAAGACCAGACAAGAAAGTCCATCGATCTTGATAACACAATAGCACCAGAGGAAAGGGCCTCTCAAAGTTAAAAGCTAACGACCTGAAATATTCCCCACTCCAGCACAAGTTAAACCAGCTCACTGCCTTTCCAGCGTGCATCCGCAGCCTTACCGACCTCCGCCTCCGGCACAGCTCACCTGAGGCTGCCACTTCAGTGGGGACCCCCATGGTGACAGTGCAGAGCTGCGGTGGGGGTCACCCAAAGTCCCAGCCGCAGGAGATGGCAGAGCAGGGCTGCTGCCCCGGGGGTCAGATGCGCATCCCTCTCCGACACACCGTGAAGTGCAGTCACGGAGCCACGAGATGCAGTGCTATTCTCCAACTGTACACGCTGCATTTCCCTGCCCCTTCTCTCTCCTTCCACCACACACCCTGCGGTCCGTAGCTTTATGAGCAAGTTAGTATATGGCCTCTATGGTCAGGCAGAGCTGTCTCGGTGGAATAATGTAATACATTTTCAGAAAATATTTATCTGGCATCCTAAGTAGCCCATGGAGAGGAATTAAGTTTCATACAGTCCTTATTACTGTCAGAAAGTAAGGAAGCAACAAATTATAAACCAAAGGTCTTCAGACGATCCTACATATTTTATTTCCCATTGCAAGTCCTTTCCTGAAAAAGGAGCAGAATTTACAGAAGGGCTAATTCTTCTTTTACTTTCAGTACCCTTTCACCTTGTTGATCTGCTGAGAACCACTTTCAATAGGCTTTTGCAATAAAAAAAAAAAAAAAAGAAAACAACCCCAAAAACAAACACACACACAAAATCACAGGAAGAGATAAAACAGAGCGAGCCTATGAGTGCGGTTTGTTTCCACAGTTCCAACAAGGCAGTGCAGAAAGCAATCAGCAGCTCACTGTGCTTGAGCTGAAAACCTCTGCAAAAATCCTGAGAGTGAAGTACAGGGCTTCCCAGCAACTGCTCTTAACACAATTTTCCACAGAATCATAGAATGGTTAGAAGCTGTTAGAAAATACTACTAACATTTTATTTACTGCTTGCAGCCCATTAAGGCAAGTAGAATGAACTCTCTCATTATTTCTTTTATTTTAAAACCAATATCCTTACTAACTGACACTTTCTGGTTTGGTTCTCTGTTTTGTTTTGGTCTGAACCCAGAGCCACCACGGTCCCCACAGGGCCCTTTGGGGAGTGGGGCAGTAGCCAGAGGGAAAAGAACGCACAACCAGCTCCAGCTTGGGTGACAGCTTCTTATTGAAAAGGGAGAGAGTTGCACAGATTTCTACCGCAACCCTCCTGGCAAATTATCCTTTACCTGCAAATGTGACAGGATGGCAATTTTGGAAAAGAGGATATAAGCAAAACATGCTAAGGAGCCAGGAGAAAAAAAAATAAAAATGTTAATTGGATATGGGAAAAAATTATGTGGGGAATATACGAAGATGAAAATGCTCTAACAAACTTATTCTATTACTTCTGTGGTCACTCACACTTATATGCACTTACTTGCACCACTTAATGAAGCTGTTGGGGTTTTTGCATTCACATAAGCAATGTGAAAGCAGCGCAGAACTGCATGCAAGTTGGCAATCAGGCCTGTGAAGAGCAGTGTTACTTATTTAGCAAGATCAAGCACACAGGTGAGATGTATCCTTCCTTATGGAGAAAATGTGAAACACGTTAATCATTTCCCTTCTGACGCAGACTTTTTTAGTGCCTGTTTTTAAACAGCTACTTAAAAAGAGGAAATGGCAACAATTGGCAAGAGAAAAATCTGGCTGGAAGTCAGGACCCCTTAAAGAAGAAGACAGTGTGAGTACCTCAAATGTTGTTTGTGCCTGAGGAAGCCTTCGTGCCTCTCCCCTTCCCTTCTCCATGCGCCCCAGCAGCCTTTCCAGCTCCTCTTCCAGAGCCCTGCACAGCAGATGCAGAAGCCACTTGGATCCCAGAGAAAAAGTCTCACCACTGGCTTCTCCCTTCTTTAAAAAGCAACTGGATTTCCATTTTCACTTTCACTTCCTATGGAGCACAGGGCAGCGGTGGCACTGAGTAATGTAAACAAGGTAACTGCACACCATTGTGTGGTGGAAAGTATGGGGGAAAAAAAAATCACACTTCTCAGAAAACCTCCTGGGAACACACTTATCAGTACCTGGGTAGTAAATCTGTCTCTCCGTGTATCGCAAGAGTGATGTGAACGGAGTGGATTTGAGATCTGCTCCTGAATCTTCTACTAATCGCCACGCAAGGGGTCCTGGCACAGGAGAGCTCGCGCGCTGAGCTCAGCGTATTGCCTGGCTGGGATCGGTGTTGAAAGACCCTACCAAAACACGGTGCGTGCTTCGGCAGCACTTCTGCTCTTTGCCTGGATTCGCACCAGTCACGTAACCTGGCACGAGCAGCGGGGATCAGTGGGCTGGAAGCGTTTGCATAGCTCCTGCTAAACCAAGGAAACCTCTCTAATTCCCACACTCTTTGCAACTCAGGTGAAACAATGCTCATTGTCCTCTGCAAAGCACACTGAGATTAATGCTACAGGTATGCATTTTTCAATGGACCCCTTTTACATTTTGCTCTTTAATAGAGAAAATATTATTTGTTAACTCTGACCATGGAATGAACGCCTCAGGGACCGGTTCTGCAGTATTTCACACATTCTGGCATCTGCCACGCTTCAGCTTATCTTCTCTGCAGGGACTAACAGGCCTGGTAGGAGGCTTCTTTAAACAGTGCCTTCTTTCTTTGCTTTATCTTGTCCCCTTCCTTCGGGTAGGGCCCGCACTGGCCCGCCAGGATCACCTCCAGCACGCGTACAAGGCTTCCGGATGACCGGAGGCCAAGTCAAATATTGACCCCAGCAAGTCAAGAGATGTTTGCATCAGTTCCCAGGGGTGAAGCACAAGGTGATGCAGCCACGCTCTCAGCAGGTCCCAGCACTGCAATTTTTCCTTACGGGCGGCCCACTTGGGCTCTCAGCACAGTCTCTTTAGCAGTGACTTCACAGCAAGCTTACATTAAAAACAGATATCTGCACCATTCACAAATAGTCCGGACTGCCAAATTCACACATACTGAAAGAAAACAGGATTAGGAAAACACTACGTGAAGCTAGCCACGGCCATTTGTTGCCTGTGTTTCTGTTTGTGCGGTTTGGGGTGGGGTTTTTTTTTTGCAATGCTGGAAGTCATCTGCACGCTCAGCAGGGAGTCCCCTGTTCCCAGTGAAGTGGAGGGCAAGAAGAGGGAACGTTCTCTACGCCCACACTGTCTGCCGGGCGGCTGCAGCTGGGAGCACATCCTCTGGGAATCGGGCTCAGGGAAAAGCAAAGGAAGGTCCCAGTCGACCGGGGCTCAGCACAGACTCTGCACAAGAGCATCCTCAAAGCGGCGTTATCGTGGCAGCTGCAAGACTTCCTTTCTGCGTTCCCTTCCACCTGCCGCACCGGTCTGAGTCTCTGGCTCCAGGGCAGCAGTGCTACTCCTCCGTAAGCAGCTCAAAATAAGCTGCTGTGTCAGTCTTTAGGAGGGATGCCATCCCTGCTGCCCTGCACAGCAGAGCTAGATGGGGCTACTAGAAATGAAAGGGGGAGGGCAGAGATCTGTAGGGCTATAAAAGTGCCGAACTGATGAAATGATATACCTTAGGACACACAGCCAGTACCAAAGAAAAGCTTTTAGCACACACAAAATATCTACCTGCTGCCTTATTTCTTGTTCTGGGAGCTGGGATTTTTTCTGTGGCAAATCACGTTTTGTCTCAAAAACCCAGGAGAAAGTCAGAGAAGCGGTGTGTGACGTTGAGGGTATGTGGCAGAATTGACAGTGGAGGAGGAGAACCCCGTAGAGCTGGTTTGGGACTTGATAGCCAAAACCTACTGCTGGGTCAGTGTAGGTGGCTGAGACGAAAGAGCTGCACCGCACTGAAGGGGAAACAGCACCTCTCAGGAGATAAAAAAAGTGGGGACCCTGATCTCAAAACCGGGGAACAGTCAGGAGACAAACCAAAATCCCACTGTGACCTGCTATGAAGAAGTAGCTGCAGAGAGAGTCATTCTTGTGTCTTTGTTCCCAACGCCTGTATAAAAAGACCGGGACAAAAAGAGGAAATGTTTTTCAAGTCCATTTTCATAATGAACATTCAAACCATCGCTTCTTTATTCTTTCTAAATCTGGAATCCAGGAAAAGGCTTTCATTTCTGCACTCACTTAGAAACGCTTCCTGTTAAAACAGTTTCTGAGCAAGCGAGACCCGTAGTCTGGAGCTGGGCTCGCCGCAAGGCCGTGGCAGGGGCTGCTCGGCCCAACATCCTCATACTCCTGCCACGGCCGGCAGAGACAGCGTAACTCCCCCCAAAACGGGGCTAAGCATCTTCTCTGCTCAATCCATTGTCAGAACACATCTATATGGGAAAGGCTCCAGAATTTACCATGGGTCGGATGACACGCGCACATATTATGAGGCACGGTGAGAGCTCTCTCAAAACCCCTGGCAGCGGGCATCTCTAACACTCACTGGCTGCTGCTGGCAGCTCACTCCGAGGTCACCCATCACACGTTCCACCTTTCCCTGCCACCTGAAAGTACTTGAAATTCCCCATTGAAAAATAACTTGCCATTACAGAAGAAAACCAGGTCTGATAAGGCAGCCTTCAAATCGATCAGTTAATAAAGAAACTAAAATTAGCCCTGCCCGTGACACTTGCCTTGAGTGCATGGCACCAGATGTACTTGGACATGCAGATAAGGGGCAAAACACCTCACGTCAGCTTGCTCACTCCACACCCCTGCCTGAGGGCAGGGTGAGCTATGACAGGGACACGCGTTTGAGCCACTGCTATTGCCACACGCAGCATCAGTCGCAGGTACTGCAGCACACAGCACCTCCATCAAGAGACAACGGCCCTTTTGCCCCGCCATGAATCCATACCTACCCTCTTTCTCTGATATACCGGCTGTTGACCCCGTTTCCAGGTTGCAAGGGGTCTCAAAGAACAGCCAGAAACAAGGGAAGGAGAAATGCACCGCAGCTCCCTACTGCTGTTTAGAAACAGGCACAAGAACAAGTTTGCAGCCACATGCGCTATCGCACTCCACTGCCCATCTCAGAAAAGACCGTATGGAAACTGGAAGACGAGAGCACATGCCAATGCTGAGTGGAGAGCACTTTGGAGCTTTCTCAATCCTTGGGTCTCTATCAAAGGATTATT